AAAAAAAAAAAAAAACATCTATTCACGTTTCTTTATTCGTTGCTGTTTAATTGTCACTGTATTCCCGCGATGTGAGAGCACATTTTTCCTCCCGACTTTTGTAGATTAGATCAATTACTATACCTGCAGAAACAGGTGAAGGTATCGTTTTTCCATTGGAAGTATACAGGTATATACCTTACTGACCAGATCTAAAGGTACGCTTTCAAAGTGAACGCCGACGAGTTAAATGCACAATTTAATCAAATGTACCTGCATTGCTTCGTTGCAGAACTATTTCGTTCGATCCTCAAGCCGTACAGAGCGAAATCAAAGCTGTTTCGCGATATATCCACAAAATAACGGTGCAACCCCGAATTTTTACCATTTGTACCTACGTTGAGTTATTTAATCCGAATTTTCAGTAGGAATTACAATTTTAGCTCAAATTATTGTCCATGTATAAGTGGTATACACTGTCTCTGCTTGTTTGAAAAAAACTCTTTTTTTTTTTTTTTTTCATTTCGGGGGTAGATACTCCATTTATAATACATGCCCAAGGATAAGGGACCACTGGAGCTTTTCGAGCTCTTGAACTTTTATGCCGCTGCAAAAGTAAAAAAAAAAAAAAAAAAAAAAAAAAAAAAAAAAAAAAAAAAAAAAAAATCAATGTTTGCAGGTCGCATTACTGTCGTTTGTGAGTCCTTAGTTTCAACAAATAAACTCAAGCTTACCATACTTGTCTTGTGATTCATTAACTTGTCCATCGATATAAATACATAAAAAGTAAGACAATTTTTGCTTCAAATTGAAAAAAATGCATTTTATTTGTCTTTTCGATATGGTCCAACTTTAAACTATACAGCCATTGGCATCTGTTGGAAAAAAAAAACTCGAGCACTGCATCAACGTTTCGAACCATGCAACTACTTATTGAAAGGTATTTTTTATGAGTAATTGGCTTATGAGAAAAAACCTAGTAGGTAAGTATTGTCTTTTCTGCTTGTTCCTCAAAAATTCTCCTCAAACTCTTGCTTTTTCCTCCTCTTGATATGCAGTAGTTATTATAAATAAGCATGGAAAATTACGGAAAATTACAAAGAGTACCTATTACATTTCTATATGCGCTCTTTCATATGAGACGAAGTGTCGAGTAATAACACTTTATCTTCCTTTATGAAAAAAAAAAAAAAAAATTTGAGCTGTGTAATTGTCATTGGATTGTAAGTAGATCTAATTGTTTGGTTCACATTTTTTCCTCGAATGCATTTGCGTAAATGCATGTATAGATTACACTCTATCTTCTATCGTCAAATAGGAACTATACTCGACTGCAACTCAACAATGCATTTGAAATTGCCCATCCAAACTTAGTCTTGACGAATTATCTCTGTGTCGTTAATTAAATAAGTAACGTGACACAATATTTAATGGGTCATAGGTATGCAAAAAAAAGGTATACATAGGTATATGTATAGGATTCGAGACATACTCGGTGAGAAAATTTAACTTGCTAAGTATACTCGAACAGTGAGAATTGCGCGAAGAAAATGCAGTTTTAGGAGTATTTTTCGAAAAAGAGGCGAGCTTAATACCGATAGTGCACCAAAAGTCACCCATGCAATTATCTACTATCAGGAAATTATCATTTTTTTTTTTTTTTTTTTTTTCGTAAACACGATAGTGACGCAATTTAAAAATTTAATCAAGCACTTCCTGGTGTTTTTACAGCCTCGGTAAACACATTGCGCAATTAAAAAAAAAAATTTAAGTTCTCAAGAGCCCAAAAAGTCGGCAATGATCGTATTTAACGAGCAATGACATAATTAAAATCAGATAAACTTGGTTAAATGGCACGGCACAAACAATAGATGGCAATCGGATACGACGCGCGCAGTCAATAAGTACGTTTGTGTATGCGCTATCGGATTCATTCGCGGGTACATTGTCGCACGACACCGACACCCCCTGTGTTCTCTCCTTCTGTACATAGTCAAGACTTATCAAGATATAAACATCTTGGAGTGCCAATGTCATTGCACAAGTGCACCACTCCACCGTAAGAGATAATAATGCATAATTTATGCACGCGCGCGAGATTTACAATCGCGAGCACTTATACATGCGTGTGGTTGGTTTTCTTTTTTCTTTTTTTTTTCCACCAATCGCATCAATGTTACCAATTTCGAAAGTCTCCTTCGAGAGACCTCAGCTATGATACCGATTAGTCCCACGGTGCGATGATGCATCGGCTGAAAGAGCTTATTGCTCTATAAAAATATCCAAGATTCCTCATCGCCGGGGGAAAATTTGCTATTATAATGATTAAACATAAGTATAGTGAATAAACAAGCGATGCGTATTACAAACGTAGTTTCCTAATCAACGACTTATATATATTTATTATTAATTACAGCGAGGCTGAGTTTTACCTATATAATAAACGTGCGCCTCCACGGGAACACATTCAATGAAGCGCGACACCACTTATTGAAATAATCGCGATTTTTCTTTGCATTATCTTTCCTCGGCAGCGCTCTGTTATTAACGACCAGGTGCTAACGAGGCGTTTATGCCTGCACTTCTGGGCGTGTGTTTGTTTTGTGCAACATCTAATTATGCTGTACGCATATTATATACGTGCAAAAGGTACTCACTATGTCGAATCCGACCTCGTAGTGGGTGCCCCGAGTGTAAACGATGGGGATGGCATTCCTCCTGCCGATGGCCTGGGCTGTCAAGTTCTCCCGCGGCACCTCCACTATCGTCGTCATTGTGACGCTCGAGGCTCGATCTGACTAAATTCGGCACAGTCAGAAACGACGACAATAATCGCGCTTGTCGCCCAAAATTGGCATTATATTTGCATTCTGATCGTTATTTCATCTATTTAATTCTATTGTACGGACCCTTTTTTGTCACGTAGTTTTACCTTTTCAACAAAATATATCACGGCAACTTTTCGCTATGCCCCTAGTTACTATGTAATCTTGCAAAGACGAAAAAAGCAATCCCTGCTCTTGTTATTAATTATTATAGAAAAGCTAAGCATTAAGGTATAGGCAAATGAAATGAAATACAAAGTAAAGCATCAAAACGGGTAAAATAAAATATTGGTATATTTATCTTGTACATAATTATATAATAGGCAGGGGGGTCGAAAACTCACCCTTCGAGTATGCGTAACTAATGTATTATAGGTAGGTGTTCTCTTTTCTATAACGAAATGAATAAACAAATATACATTAGAAATGCAGAATGGCATCAGGTGATCGTAAAACAAGTGTACCTGTACAGAAATCGTAGAAAAGCCCCAAGAGAGTGTTACTGTTACACTGAGCCGTGCCCGGAGCTCGACGAGTCTCCAACTGGCGCGCGGAAGAACGATCGAGCCTCCCGAGTCTTTTATCGACTTCGCGGGCGGCTCGTCAATGTTACTACTCGCGCTAACGCTATCGTGCACTGCTTAGCTTAGTTTACCTATACACTGACACAAACACGCTTATACTTTTGTAACTGCAGTAACAGTAGCAGCCCTCTCCGTGTGTTGTTACCGCGGAATTATACTTATATACCTATACCTGCACATTCTACCACCCGATCGTATTTGCACCTCACGTCACCTCCCTCTTGATATTACCTGTTAATGGTTGAAAAAAAAAAAAAAAAAAAAACTAACATC